CTGCGGAATCAATCCCTCTTCTCCCAGGGCAGCGGAGCAGCTGTTTGCAAAGGAGATAAAACACCAGAGCGGTGGCACGTCCTGTGGCCATCACGGCTGAGAAGCCAGGGAGTAAGGAGCACTTGAGGCTGGCAGTCCTGAGAGAGGATCAAAGCCAAAGCTGAGGGCCACACTGTGTGTCCCAGCCTGGAAACCAGTGTGGAAGCAGCCTCAATTGTGTAATGAGGGAAGAAAGGGCAGAGGTTCCCAAACACAGCGTATGTTTTCATATAAACACGTGGTTAATGGGCATTTCTTCTTGCATGAGCAGGCCCCAGCTTGTGCTCTGGGAGCTTTAGGGGGAATGTCCTGCACAGGAGGAGGAGGAAGAAGGACCTTTGGGAAGGCTGCACGTTGGGTGTTTTGGGAGTATCTCCAACCTGCTTGGCCCAACAGAGAAGGTGGTCCATCAGAAGAGCTTGGCCCAACAGAGATCTTGATCCCTCAGAAGACAGACGAGCAGATAGGAGGGTTTGGGGTGGTTTGTGCTTTGACACCACGGAGACTCTCAGGGACTCACATTGATTGTGCCTGGTGAGGCCATGGGGACTGCGATCCYGGAGGAGCGTCCTGCTCCAGCCCGTCCACGCACAGGAGCATCCCGTCGGCCGTATCCCTGGCATCCTGTCGGCCATATCCCTGCGGCCACGCTGCTCGGGACACTGGTGGCCACCTTTGGTCAGCAGGAATCCGCGTTTCCTTTCCTGGGCATTGTAAGATCAAAACGGGAGCAATGGCTCCCTCTTGTCCCCATCTCTCTTGCTCCCTTTTCCAAACAGAAAGGAAAGGTAAAGCTTTTTTTTTTTTTTTTTTCTTTAACCACTGTTTGCTTTTCCAGTTTCTTTAATTTGGGTAATTGCTTAGTCAATTCTCAAAAATATATATTCTGCCTTAAAAAAACAGCAGAAAATGACAAATCGCCTTCCTTTCCCTGCCGGCGTTGGCACGCGGGTCCCAGATTGTGCATTCTGCGCGCGGCGCCACACCAGCCTCCCGTACTTAATTAATTTCCCTTCGTTTGTGCAGCCCTTGCACTTAAAGAGACAGTCTCCCATTTTGATGGTTTGGCTTTGGCTGGATTTCAAAAGTGTCACTTCTTAAATCTTTCTTTTTTTTTGTTTTTAATTTTTTCTTTTTTAGCCGTCTGTGTGTGCTGCATGGCAAAGGGCTGGCATTTTTTCATTCCCACCCTTCCTTCCCCCTTCTCTGCCTCCCAGTTCTCCCCAGTGCTCAGGATCCCTTTGGCTCTTTGGAAAGCAGAGGCTGCCCAGGCTTTCCCATCAGGGCTTGCAGAAGGGCAGCCTGACTTGGCCAAATGATGCCCTGGATGGGTTGCAGGCCCAAGAGCTACCAAGGACTGTGGGTGCTGGGTCCCCATGGGACAACTCAGCTGCTCAAGGTCCATTTTGCTGTTAGATCAGCAGAGCTGGGGCATACTCCTCTTATTGAGTATGTGAAATTAGCTGTCGGAGGCTTGGAGCCAAATTCCCCACAATGTAGTTGGGTTTGACTCTGCAAGCCTCGTGTTTGCATGGGCCGGGATGTGCAAGGCTGAAATCGGGGAGTTTGGTTCCGTATCAAGAATACGGTTATATTCCAGCTCCCAACTTTCATCCTGATTTTTTTTTTTTAATTTAAAAGCTAAACAGAGGACTGAATGTGTTGAGATAGGGATTGGCCAACGTTGGCCAACCTTGGGCGAGGAATCATCACTACGGCTCCAAGCTCAACTTTGCAGCCATGCAAAGCTTTCAGTAAAGGTTCCCATCAGCTTTGGAGGACACCACGTCCCTGCAGTAGTGCTCTGATATATATCAGAATATGTCTGATTTTGCTGCTTTTTCCATTTGGTAGCCTGATCTCACAAGAGGTACGTAGAATTCAGAAATGTCCAGCATAGCCTATGGCAATCCCTAGTTTCCAGGAGGCTCTTGGGCAAATCACAGAATGATTTAGGTTGGAAGGGACCTCTAGAGACCATCTAGTCATCACCTAGATCATCGTGCCCAATTTTTCTTAATTAAGTGTCCATCCKCATTGTAGTTTGACCTTGCCATTCTCCCTCCAAAGCTTCACCTTCAAAKCTTAGCTTGAAAAGAAATTTAATTTCAATTTCAAGACCTTCTTGTTCTCGTTTTTTTTTTTTCCTTAAAAATCCTCTATCCACCCACCCACCCCAGCAGGACGTGTCTCTCAGGAAACCACTTCTGTGGGCAGTAATAATTTTTGAAAAGTAAACACATCAAAACGGAGTTTGACAAACACAGGCAGACGTCGGGGAGGACCRTTTGTCGTTACGTTGGGTTTTTCTTTCCAGTCTGCATGTACATTTTTCAAACCTACACACACAGCTAGATAATTGAACWTATTTTGGATAACAGCAGCAGAAATGAATCTTCAGAAATGGGCCTAAGGGCAGTGATTTGGAAACGCAATCCTCAAGGAACACCATGGCCTTAAATCAGCATTTGGGGAGAAAGGCAGAGGTTGTCTCTTGGATTTTGCATTTTTCAAAAATCTCATTTGCCTTCTTCCCTCTTTTGTCAATGTCTTGTTTTTAAATTTTCCTAATCATTTTCAAGAAAAAATCAATTTTCCTCCTCTTCCTGCATTAGCATATAAAAAAAGATATTTTCTCTAGTTGCATAGATGCTGGTGGTCTGTCAGTTAGCTGATATTTTACTCCTCCAGATGCTCAGTACAGTGTCAAGTTCAGCATTCCTAGCTGTGGGTCATCGTTCAAACACCAGTTTCCATGCTCAAGCTTTGTAGACCTTTTCAGCAGCTGCTTTAGTTGGTTCATAAGTTTCTTTCTCAATGGTGCATCAGGAGATTCTTCAAAAATTTCTTTTTTAATTTCTTTATATCTGGATTTAATTCTCTTTCTTATCAAAATATGCAAGTGCTAGGCCWTTTAACCTTGCACATGGGAATAAATTTTCACTGAAGGGGGGAGAAAAAGAGGGGGGGGGAAAAAAAGATACACGTATCTGTTTGAATTCTTTCTCCCTCATTCCTTTCTGGTAACAGTATTTCATCTTGGCTGACTTTGGCCGTTTAATGCAGATTTTAATTGCAGAGATCCCTCTGTCTCCGCAATGACTGTGCAGCAACCATAGAYAGCTATTTTAGATGAGATTCCTGACTCTTAGAAAGCAAAAAATAAGACAGAATCTCATCTGTCCAGGAGAGGCTGAAATTGAAACGGTATCTGGTGCAATTCTGGCTGGGAGGAAAAAATGCTGCTATCAATTTTCTCTAACGTATTTTTAATGGAACAGGAAAGTGCAATTGGTTCTGATAAAAGGGATATTGTGTGGCTAACAGGCCAAGGGAGCAGCTTTGGGCTGAACGAACAGCTCCTAAAAGGCTGGTACAGTAGCAAAAGCAGCAGTGGCCTGAATATATTATCTGGGGATCTAAGGCAAACGCGTGGTGTATGGGATACACACTGTTGAATGTAAATCCATAGTGCTGAAATACTGTATATTTATTATGCAAGGCCAAGCCGAAGACAGTTTGTGTTTGATGGGCTCCTGGTGATGAATGGATTGTTTCATGCGAGTAAATGAACTGTCGGAAACAATGGCCACATAGTACAATTTCCCTCCCATCCCCAAAGGGCAGGAAAGCTCGGCAGCCAAAATAAAGTTGTATTTTTTTGTTAAGTCTAGCGAGGTGGCAGGCTTGGGTAGAAAATTTAGAGGAATGGATATGAGGAGTTTGACCCTTTTTTTTTTTAAAAAAAAAAAGGGAGAAAAAAAAACTTAGCTAAAAGCATCAGTGTTGTGGGCAGATTTGTTTAAAATTGGGCTGTGATTGTAGCTGATGTCCGAAGTCCTGGAAAGATGGATCCCTCTAGGATCAGAAGAGGGAGCAGCTAAGCAGGGAGCGCGCGGCCGAGCCCGGCACGTCATTCCCGAGCGGCTGCTCGGAGGGATGTGGACGTTCCCGGCACAGCCTGCATTGCACAGTCCTTTCCCAGGGATGCCAGACACGGTCCTGGAAGAGCGGGAGGCTTTTTTTCCTTCTCCCGTTGTGAGYAGCAGCTGATTTGGGATGTCTGTGAAGGAGAAATGTTCTTGGAAATTTTATTTATTTATTTATTTGTAGTTTGGGATTAGCTGCGCTGTGCATTTTGCCAAATATTTTTGTTACCTAATAGTCCCTTTCTGAAGTACTTCCTTGGATGTATCTCTATCTAAAATGAAAAACAGAATGTAAGAGGGATTTGGGAGCTTGGAGGAGCTCAGTTGTCCTCCAAATATTGTAGGCTTAGAAGAGTGGATTGTTTTGTTTTTGAGCAGATTCCTCCTTTTCTTAAAAGCCTGGGCTTACGCTTGCTGTTATGTAATGACCCAGGCAAGGGCCATACTGTAAATATTCACACCTTGCTCTGAGCTGAAGCTTTGAATGGCAATAATAAATAGCCAGCACGCTTGGAGAACCCTGTTGGATTAGCTTCTGTTSCAACTTTTCATTAGAGAGGTTGGCCCTGTCTATCTCGTTTGCCCAGGAAGCCAGTTGGGAGCCACAGGGTTAATTTATGAGCAGGGTCCTCCCTGCGCCAAGGCAGATCGGCATGCAGGAGAGCCGCAGGGACCGGGACGGTTTTTCCTGTTTGTGCCCCGTGTCYTTGGTCCCACCACGTTCCTGCAGGAGATCTGATCCAGGAACAAGCTTTTGAAGGCCTTGGACTTGGCCACACTTTGTCTTCTGCAGAAGCACTGCGAGCAAAAATTAATCCTGGAAAGTACATAGGGGAAAAAGAAAAAAGGCTGCTCCTAGGTCACAGAGTTTAACAGTTTCGGCTGTCAAATTCAGGGAGATCTTCCCGACTCGGCTGCTTCCCCTGTCTCTGCTTCAGGCTATCCCACCAACAATTATCCGGGATTAGGTACTTTTCTCCCTTCCCCTTTGCACAGTAACGTGCATCTCCTCCTTTCTGCTTTTGCTTTTAGGAAGGAGAATGGATAGCCCTGTTTTTTCCCCCGACGTGCTGCTGAGTTTCTGCCCGTGCGGCAGCGCCGTTGTGCCGTCGCTGCCCGTCCCGCGGGCTCGCCRGGAAGAGCGCGCCGTGCGGGAGAGCCCTGAGCGCACGGGCTGAAAGCAGGCAGCCCATAACTAACTTTAGAGAAAAAGCATGACCTCAGTATATTACACGTGTTGGTGATGTACGCTGCAGTGGCACAGAGCTCGGCAAGGCCGGGTTTGGGTTAAGAAAACACCCGTGGGTTCTGCAGTGCTTCAGAGCAAGCTGAGGGCTGACTGAGCCGCCGTTCACGGATGCCAGTTAATGCAAAGTCGGTGATACCGCACGCACAAACCTGGTGTAATTGTTGCAGAAACATTATTTATTGATTCATACGAGGGAGTAAAACTCTCGGGACAAGGGGAAATGTGTAGCTTGTGTGGAGACTGTTTATCAGTGAGTAACCCGAGCAGCAGCCTCTGCTGAGACATCTCCAGTTCTGCACCCGTGTGGGAGCTCGTAGCATCCCCGGGCTGCAAAACCCTCTTAGCTCAGGGCGAGGGACCTGGATGGCTTCACTGCAGAGCCTCAGATGCTTTAAATCCGCCTGCAAAGCCTGGCAGCTGCAGACGGAGAGCTTTGGAGGCTGGATAACGTCCCCGTGCTCCCCTTGCCGGGAACGCGCTCCCGTTCCCTGTTTGCTCCGCGGAGCACCCAGGCCGAGGTGACACTTTTCGAGCTGCTCCTTTAAACCAAACACTGCGCAAGAGGCACCGAGAAGACAAACCGAGAGAGCAAACAGAGCGGGGCAGTTTCTAAGAAACCCGCCGAGATTTATGGCTCCGGCCCCTGATCCTGCGCCAAGCCTGCTTGGTGTCCGCGCCGCTGCCCCAAGGGCCGCCCCGACCCGYTCCAATGGTCCCAATTATCATTCCTGCTTCAGGAGGAGACTGGCATGGCAGCAGAGCAGGAAACCTCCCCTCGTGTCCAGGACCCTTTGGGATCCCCAGTTATAAAGGAATCTGAGAAGCTTCTAGGTTGTTGGACTAGAGGACGCCCGTGCAGTTGCATAGGCTGAATTTTTGTATATTGGGGAAATGGGAAAAATGGGAAAAATGAAATGGGGAAAATATAGGGGAGACAGATTAGGAGGCCCCAACYGGCCTACACCCAGAGGAGGGCTGGAAACCTCTGCATCTGGAAGCAAGTCAGCGTGATTCACTGCCTGCTTTCCTTTCCATAGCCAGGAGCCAGCAGCCTTTTCTATACTGCCTGTCCCATGCAGAAGGGCTGGGTTTTGCCCAAGGCCTGAGTCAATGTTGTATCCTCGTATGACCAAGCTGACAGCGTGCCCGGCTGTGTGCACTGGTGTCTAAATATTTGCCGGCGATGCGCTGGAGGATGCAGTATTCCAGGGAATGCGGGGAGCTGCCAAGGCAGCAGCCTGCAGCCCCTTGCAAAGAGCCCTTGGCTGGCGTGTGATGAATGCTCAGTGCTCAGCGGCGAGTGCCTGCCCGTTGGAGCTGGCAGCCCCAGAGCTGCCTTCTTGCAGCCAGACATGGTCCCTCCTCCCGTGCAATAACCCTGGGTGACCAAATATGAGTCTCAGTGCTTGGGATAATGCCCGGAGCACCCGTCTTGCTCCCTGTGGCTGCCAAGGGATGCTGTATGACTCTCAGGCCTGCTGGGACCCTCTCTGCTTTCCCCTGTCTGCTCCCCTTGCACTGCAAAGGCTGCACTCGGGCACGGTGACACCGTGGTCCAGCAAGGCCATAACCAGTCCCATTGGCACCGCTGTCGAGTGGCCTCGGTGGAAACTGGAGCCCTTTCCAGATGAGCCCTCCTGCCATACAGCGAGTGGAAATATCCCTTCATCTGACCCGGGAGGACCACCCAGCGGCTGCTTAATCCTCAGCCCATCTTGTGAGAAGCCGCTGCAACAAGGTGTGTTAACCCCGAGCGGATTGAGGATTGCGGCCAGCGCTCGTGGCTGCAAATTCCTCTCCCCTGTGGCCTTCCTCCTCACACACTGAGGCTTTCATGGGGCTCCTCGCGTGTATGCTGCCGTTACATGTCGCTGCCCTCAGGAGGAGGGATGCCACCTCTCGAGAACAAAATAAATAGGTCGCATTGGCACCGTGTAGGTTTTTCCCCGGGCATTTTAAAATTAAAATGTTGTTTTGGAAAGCCTCTACCAGGGTAATTCACGTCTTCATCAAGAGAATAAATTTGCCTTTAAGAAAGGGAGTCCAGTGAGAAAGAAAAATGCTGTGGTCCAGCAAATGACGTAGAGGTTTTTGGGGTAATTAGGCACCTCTGGTGCTCTGGCTATTGGAGGGGAAAGGGGGATGCTTGTTGGAGGTCATCGGAGCTTAAGGTAGTTCCACCGCAATGCTTCTCCTTGCTCTCCTTTCTGGCGTGGGACGGTACCGTAATTTGCCTTTTCCCTTCTTTCCTACCTTGGAATGAGCAGCAGATATCTGATATTCTGATACGGTAGCACTTTGATTAAGTGCTTTGATTAAGGAAACATCAAGCCCGGGTCTTGATGATGCACCAGCAGGTCCTTTTGTCTGGATATTTCAGCCTCATTTTTAATGGCCTCTAGTCTCAGACCTGTACAGACGTCATCTGCCTGAGAGGAAATTAGCCAGGTCTTGTCTTCACTGGGCCAAAATTTCAGCACCTTGGATGATTTTTAATTTTTGTATAATGTATGTCTAAATTTAATATTACTTTTAAATATATATATAGTGCTGATTGCACTATTATGCTCTATGTGGCATCACACACACTTCCCATAAACTATTTTTCAAAGCCTACATTGTTTTATCTTTGCAGTATCTAAAATGTGCGTGTCGCTAAGCCTTTGGGTGTATGCACAAATACACAAATATTACCTCAAGAGCAGTATATTCAGCTCTGTTCACCCATTTACACCTTCACTGAAGCTGAGGCTCAATCCCATTAACTTTAATGGGGGGGAATAAAAGCAAGAACTTGGACAGACACCGACGAGTCTGCAGTGACTCCATCTCCATGGTTTAGTTGTGCCTTTGAGCTCCTATAGATCAAGCTGAGCTCCTATATTAGAGGTTTAAAGCGCCATGAAAGTCATGCTTGACTATAACTTTAGGTATGTGAATGCAAAGTTGTCTATGGTGGTGGGTACATGGTACCGTGATGATGGTAGACGTGGGTCAGGCCCATCCTCTTTGCAAGTGATATTGGATGGTCTTGGTGCAAAATCAGAAGTGTAGTGGAGATACGTTGCCATGAACCATAGAGTCATCTTCTGCTCATGCACAGTGTGTGTCCAAGTATGAAAGGCGTTGCTAAGCCCCCTGCCAGCAGTGGCCCTTTGCTGAATGTCCAACCACACTTAGGACACCTCTGGCCTGTGGGAATTGCCTGTCTGAGATCTTAAAGTCAACTTTCATCCAGCGATGATGTAAGTTCAGTGCTTGCCAGAAGAAGAAATAATATTTGGAAGTTAAGGAGCGAGGGAGGGAATCTTCAGCTGATATAAACCTTATTGACTGCAAGTGACCCACGCTGCTCTACAACGGCTCTGCTGGTGGCCCAGGGTTTGTCTGACTTTCACTAATGCTGAGCACCAGCAGATCCCAACTTACCCCAGTCTCCAAAAAGCCCTTTCARAATTCTCCCTATCAGTAACTTCCTCCCCCAAAGAAATAAAGATTTTACTCTAGAGTTTGCTAAAGGCACAGCAAAATGTGGATGTCAAACCTCCTTAACTTGCACAGGCTCCAAAGGAGGGTCTAATCAGTGACGTAAAGTGAGGAGTTGTGAGTTCCTTGCAGTAAACAAACTAACCGTTATTAAACACACGCATGGGTCTTTAAGGAGTGGAATTGATTGCGTGCGTTTATTTTTACAGCATCATTTAAGTGGGTAAGAAAAAAAAGACTCGGCTCTAATGCCGGGATGCTGTAGCAGAATCAAAGCCCAAGGAAGGATTTTTCCACTGTGTTCATTTTTTTTTCTAATAACTATCTCCCATATCTGCCAATCTTGGGTCAACAAACACACGTTGATTGACAAGTTAAAATGTTTAGCTAAGCCTGCAACTCATATAAACCCAATTTAAGATTTCTAGTGCCGGAGGAACATGTAAGAGCAACAAACAGTGTCCCTTCCTTCCTAGGCGCTCCCTTGGGTGTAATCTAGGACTGTGCTTGTCGGGGACAGTCCCCAGCAGCCCGGACGCTGCCTTGCTCGTGGATCAGCAGGTGGTTCAGGGATGCTCCAGCAGGATGAGGTGGGGTAGCCCCACTGTGATGTGTTTCCATCCACACTAGGCTGCGATTCTGGAATAAAAGTGTTGGTTGCCAAAACTGGAGACAGCTGCTCCAGCAGTTGTCCCCCGAGCAGTAGCGCTGAGGCTGCTTTGCGGTGACAGTGCTCCTTCTCGGTCCTGGAGTGCTTTCACAGCATGACTAAGTCTTTCCAAGATGTTTTCCAAGCACGGTTGGAATCRGGGATACTAGAAATCAAGCCAGAGCTACTTCTCCTCTAAGGATTCCATGTTGCCAGCAAAGGGTTGCTCTCTATGTCTGCAATAACTTTGGGATCTTTGGGATGTACTTGCAGTAAACCGCTGCTCATCTCACTTCTCCTGTTCTTCAGCTGGAGGAAAGGCTTTGTTTCTTCATGTGTTTGGGATTTTTGTTCTTCACCCGAGGAGCTGACCCTGTCTCTGGTGCTCAGGTTGCAGATATTTCCAGACCTGATGCAGATTTTTCCTACCCCCACTTTATTTATTTATTTTTTCCTAAATGGAAATTGTTAAATTGCTCGATCGGAAGCTGCCCTGATACGGAAAGGCCCAAATGAGGGAGGACCTGGGGGTGAGCACACGGGGGAAAAGGATTTATGGAGTTTTCTCACCCTTCCTGTGGGCGTATTGGGCCAGGCAAGCGTTGTGGTTTCTTCCTCCAAGCCAAGGCAAGCAAGACGTAGACCATGGGTCACTTCATGGGACGCAATGAATCAGGCCTGCAGCGACCTAAGCCATGGGTTGGACAGGTCAGGATGGGCCATGGGTTGGGTACAGGATGTCCGCGTCCTGCCCCGTCCACCCTCGGGCACTGCATGGACCTGGCTGGTCCTCGTTCACATCACACTGACACCCTTGTGTCTCCTGCCCTGGTCTGCTCCCAATGTACAAGCAATTGTCGAGATGTC